TAAAGGGCAATGCTTTTCTACTTGCTGTCAATCAGATAAAGTCTTTGGTCTTTAACATTAAGTAAGTTGGGCATTTTGTTTGGGCTGAATAATTACACATGATATTAGAGACCAGTGTTGTACATCCATACACTTTTTAAAGATCATTAGATAAACAGATGTTGCTTCACAAAGTCATTGTTCAAATTATGTGCATCTCCTACACTATGTTAGTACACTTCCATGGTTAAAACTGTGTGTTGATTATAATATTCAGACTTTTGGCCCCAAATTGGGAAATCAAAATTGATGTTGCACAATGGCAACATTTTAGGAGTGATATTACTTTCTCCTTCCCTTGTCAAAACACCCATCAAAACAAGAGTTCTAGTTATCTTTTTTTCCTTTGATTTTGCAAGGTTATTTATCACCTTCCAGAAGCCCTTCAATGTAGGAAGGACTACAGGGTTCTTCAGGGCATGTTGCCTTGAGCAGTAAAACAAGTTAACTACACAGCTTTCATTAGGCTGCAAAATTTTCATGTTACTAGTACAACCTCAATGAAACTGATGATGTACATCTGAGAAGGAAGAATGGCTCATCTGGTGCTGCTGGTTTAACTTTCCTGTGGTCTTCCTGTCTCCACATTGTCTGCTTACACACTGAGTTCCTGGTCCTTCACAGACTTAACCATGTCTCATGGGTAGTTCCACTGATTTCAATCACAAGGTAGTAATACTAACTAAACATCTAAATAGGTCTTTGCAGTATCAGGGCACAAGGGATTTTCAAAAGGGGCCAAGAGAATTAGGCACCACATTCTACTGATTTTTAAAAAATCCCAGTTAAAAAGTGCAATTATATGTGTGTATCTTGCATCCATGAGTGGTATTCTGTTGTTTTAGATCTAATGCAGTAGAGGGTGCTAGAATTATACAAAACTGACTATTGAGTTAGTATCTATGAAACTAGGACAGACATAGGAATAGGAGGTCTAAAAGCTGGAAGAAGAATACTAATCAAGCTGCCTGACTTTTCATGAATGCTGTTCCATGGGGAGGTATTTTTGAAGCATAGGCTGAACTTTGTTTTATGGCTATGGAGAGAAAGAAGGCTCTTCTTTGCCAGCCAAGAGCAAAGACAAAACTACAATGGAACCATTGCTGTTATTGTTGCAGTTACCTGCCCTCCCAGGCAGTGACTCTCGACTACACACAATAATAAATATTATTTAATACTTTAGATTTTCACTTACAGAGATATGCTAGTTTGGGGCTGTGATCATTTTGATAAGGATAATTATTGTACTGCTTTTAAAAATATGTGATCTCCTATTCATTTCTTATATCTTGAGGACACTGTTTGGCAGAATTATTGGTGCAGGTTAGTCACAGATATCACAGAAACGCTTGGAAAATCTAAATTTCCTGGACTGAGACTTTCCAGTCCTTCATGTATCACTCTTTTCCTCATCTGCTTTTTCCCCCCTACCTTTGTCAACTCAGCCAGATCCTTTTCCTTCCTCCTTTCCAACTTCAGTCGTCTGTTCTCTGCTCTTCACATCTTTTCAGTTACAGTTATCCCCAGCCATTTTCACCATGCTTGTTTCTTTCACTGATTGCCACCCACTGAAGCCAAACTGGCTATGCTGACCAGTTAGGTCAGTCATCATTTTTGGGCCTGGGGACACAAGCTGAATGAAAATCTGGGTCTTATCTGTGTCAAAGGCACTCCAGAATACTTTGGGAATGTGAGTTCATGAAAACTGAATACAGAACTCATTCAAGGGCCTAAGCCTGCTCTGGGTCTCTAGCATGGCATTTATAGCACTAACTGCTGTAGTATGTTGACGAAAACACACTGTATTGTAATGGTCTTTAAAAGTAATGTATACTTGAGTCTAGGAGAGGAACCCAATATATATAGCTTTTAAAAGAGTAGAGGTCTGGTCTGGCTCTTATTTTTTAACAAACCAGTTCAGCATCTCTGGTTAGCGAAATGGAGAGGGAAGAGGTGCAGGGAGTAGTTTAATACAGGCGACCTCACTATTCATGGGGGATATGTTCCTGTGATCCGTGTGAATGGCAAAATCTGCGAATAGGGCACTGTATTCGTGAATGCAGTGCCCCCGGCGGCTGAGGGGGGCATGCTCTGGTGGTGGCGGCAGGAACATGGCGGCAGGAGCTCCTGGGGAGCTTTGGTAAGTGTTTAAAGTGTATTTAAAATGCAGGTTAGGCATTCGCATATATATGAAACTGCGAATGCTGAACCCCCAAATACCGAGGGTTTCCTGTATTATCCTTCTTAGCCAACCATCAGCTTTTGGGCCATGAAAACCAGTATATTTTCTGCCATAGGACTTGACCTGGTCCAGAGCTATCAGGTACAGGCTCACACAGATCAAAATCACAGATCAAGCCAATGGGTCCGTGTACAAAATGACAGATCTGTGGTACAGAGCTAGGGATCAGCAGGGTCCCTCTTATCCTCCCTTCCAAGGCAACTTGACACTGTGGATCCTGAAACGTGCTTTTCTCTCATCGATGACACTTGGGACATCCACAAAGTCTTTTAAGGTGGAGCTTTAAGCTTCCTCAGAAGTGTCTGTCAGCAGCAGTAGGAGCATGCTGAATTCTGTATCTCCTCTCATGCTACTGTCTTCGCTTCAGCTGGACACTATCACTGCAAGGACAAACACCTGAGCGCTCTGGCCCCTGATGGTGGCAGCAAGCCACTGACTCACTCCCAAGTTTTATTTTTCACCCTCATACCTGCAGATTTTGTTCTTCTGATCCTCATTAGCCCCCCTGCTCCATCTTACTTCACTCTCCAAATCTGTCTTCTGCACACCTGTCACCCTCCACTTCTGTCCCTCTTTCTCACATTTTCCCTTTGCACTCTATTGCTTTGATCATGTTAGCTTCCTGTTGCCACTCCCATAACACAGCTGCCTTGGGTATAAACCAAGGGTGCTCAATTCCCAGACTGCAGAGCCATGTCATCAAGCTTTCAGGGCTCCCCATGGGGTCAAAAACCTTGGCAGCAGGGGACCTGCCAAAAGAAGTATGAATTGCTGCTTCCCAGCCACCAAATTTCAGGGCCTGTGGGGAGCCTTGTTGGTGGCTGGGAAAGTGCAGCTTGAGGGTGTGAGGCCAGGCCAATGCAAGGTCCAGTTGGATGCATGGGGCCTGACCCCAAGCAGGTTCTAGCCCACAGACCTTCCTTGTGCCACTCATGGCATGTGGGGATGGAAGGTTGAACACCACTGGTTTAAACAACTCATGTAATTTATATATATATTAAAATTATGGTTAAAGGGAATTTTTATAATTTTTTTCCATATGCATGTGCATCTATATGGACAGAGCAGAGAAAAAAAGTCTAAACCAAAATCCCAGGTCTGAACACTACTGAAGTAGATGCATAGCAAGCTATAATTTTCTATAACAGACTAAACTCAGCACTTAATTAGGGTCTCAGACTCCTCACTGATTTTTAGCCCTCACCCTACCTGCGACTACAGCTCTCTGGTAGGATATCAGCCCTTGCTACTGCCCTAATTTCTGGTGGTATGGCTGTTGGTTCTTCTGGCTTCAGAGGCCAAAGGTCAAATTAAAGCAAGGCATCTGTTGACCAAATAAATATAAATAAAGGCAGATGATTTTCTTAGGAATCATTATAAACAATAGTAGCTACAAAGTGTTCTTCAGATACGAGGCTGATCACTAAGGGGCAATGAAAAATGTTCCACAAGAATAGAGGACTCCTTTTTCATGGTGACAGGGGTGTGTGCTAACATAGGTGAAGTGCATGTTTTGGGTAGGTTTGAAGAAGCTAAGAAATTACAGGCAGACTTTTAAAGATATTAGGTGCCTAAAGATGAAAAGCACCACTAGGCCAGATTCTTTTCTTTCTAAGTGGACTTAGGAACCTAAGTGTGATTCCATTCCATCCTATTCAAGTCCAGAAGATCCATTAATGCAGCTACTCTTGTAATATACCTTATGACTGGTCATAAAAAAGCAAAGAGAAGGAGGAACTACCCACTTTTTGAATTAATTGTTTTCCAGGGACTTGAGCTGGAACAAATAAAATAGCATTTAGGCACCTAAATCCACTTACACACCTAGTAAGCAGAACAGAATCTGGTCCTCAGTGTATTTGAAAATACATGTACTCCAATTTGCATCTTTACATGCCTAAATACCTTTTAAAAATCTGTCCCTTAGCAACTTTGTAATTGTTGAAGATGATGGTAAATTTTAAAAAGTGGCTAAAGGAGCCTCAGTTCTACCTGAAAACTGGTGAGGCAGTTTAGAAGCTTAATGCTTGCTGACAATCAATAGGATTTAATCTCCTATGGGTCAGATTTGTAAAGGTATTGAGGTGCACAAAGATGCAAACAGGAGTACAGTGAAAAGCTCCCTGGACACTTCATGCCCAGGGATTCCATTTGGGAATGGCCAATGAAAATTGCCTTTACACTGGGAAATTTCTTGCTGATGTGAATCTGGCAGAGCTGGCTCCTGTGTCAGCCACCTGCTTCTGCTCAAGCTTAGGGGTGGGCTACCTGAAAAGGAGAGGGCACAGCGTGCATAGCTGAAGGCACCAAGGAGCACAGTTCTGCCATGCTAATTTTTCCAGGCTTAAGATCCTTTGGAGTCCTAAGGGCAGTGGTACAGCTTACAGCAAACTCCTCAGATAATAGCATAACTTGTGTACTAGCTTTGGGTGTCGATTCAGAGGGGGTGCCAGAAAGGCAGGCCCCAGGAGCCTGTGCTGCTGCAACAGCCTGTGTTGGGAGCTTGCGCCAAGGCAGAAGTGGCCCATGCTGGCATTGCTGGAGCGTGCACAAGGAGATAAGCACTCCCTCCCAACACTGCCCTGGGCACCAAAATTTAAAGTTACACCTATGGCCCCACATGGTCTAACTAATGCTGGTGTTAGGCTGGCACTGCATCAGGAAGCCATAACTAGTTCCCTGATAGATCTGTGTTAAACAGAACCTGGATGCAGGAAAGAACAGGGCCCAATGAGTATTTTGTTTATACTTAGTCATACCAGGAAACGTACATGATTCAGAACTTCACTCGGAACAATGCTTGTTGCTAATGTCTCGTTACATGAGGGTTGTTACACGAACATCTAGCAGTTGCCCAGCTACAGTACAGTAGCTCTGCAGTATCAAGTAAAGAGAATAAAGATATATGTAGAGTAAGAAATGGATTATTGAAAATACTAGAGAAATATTTTAACGTTAATTTTGAAAACTTGAGGTAAGCCTGTTATAGGTAATAAACATTTTACGATGCTTAGTAGCTTCTGTTACTGGGTCTGTCTTAAGTGACACCAGCAAACATCATTACAGCTGTTTCACGTGTCCAAATATTTATCTAAAAGAAAATAATCTAGTATCACACTATTGTCTCTGTTTCCTAAATTGACCCTTTCAACTTTGGAATAGAAGCTGGTGCCAGAAAGAGCCTCTGAAGTGATTACCTTTCATCTCGAGTATCCAGAGAGAGTTTAAGAAAAACATAAACAATAATGGAAATTAAAATATCCCTCAATTTTAGGCAAATAAAAAAGTGTTTAAGTTTCAGATTCTAATTTTGATGTAAACTAGTCATACAGCTTTGAGAAACTGATTTTGTTTTCATGAATGAGCCTTTTTTGGCAGCTGAAACGCAGAGGTTGTTTTAGCTCCCTCTACAGTATCATGAACATTGGCTGTCATTCCTGAAACTGAACAAGGTGAAAACAAATGTAACAGAAGGAATTTTTTTTTAAAAAAGGGGTGGCTAGGGGAAAGCAGACCTTTCTTCAGAGGTTCTTGGGGACAGAAAAAGGGAGGGGAGTTTATGTAATTTTTTATCGTCTTCTCCATCTTATCTTTTGGGACGGGGGAAGGGTAAGAGAAACCCATCAACCTGAATGGGAGTGTTTCCAGGTGTACGTAGGGAGAGGAGAAGGAGAAGAAGGGTTTAGTAGAGTCCGCATCCACGCAGGTTGTTGGCAATGATAACATCTGTCACTGCATCGAAGACGAACTGGATGTTGTTGGTGTCGGTGGCACAGGTGATGTGTGTGTAGATCTCCTTGTTGGGGGACTTGTTCTTGCTCTCATACTGAGACTGGATGTAAGCCACAGCCTCTGTGAAAGAGTTAGGGCCTAAAAGAGAATCCAGAAAGATTGGGGAAAGCACATTAATACAATTCTGAACACCGGGCTTGAATCAGTTTTTACTGAAGACATGGACATTTATTAGCATTTTGGACAAATATGTTTGGCTTTTTACTGGCCTGTTGGGCTTCCTAAGCAACATTCAAAACAATCTATGCCACTGATTCCCTGAGTAAAGATAAGTGGAGTTACACTGGTACAAAATTGGAGCTGATGCCACTGTGAAGCCATTCCACTGTGTGATCCCAGATATGCTTTTATATATTATAGTGTACTGAGGTAAAATGTATGGGCAGTCAGTGATGTAGAGGATGAGAACACTAATCATTAAGTTCATTCTGAAGAAGGAAGTAGAAGGAATTCTATGCAATGTTGACAAAAACAAGTGTTTGCACAGGAAAGGGGACAGGGCTGTTCATCTTCAGAGAGTGTTCAAAGCTTGATGAAAAGGCACTGTGGTCTGTTTTTACAAATGTTTTTACTCATGTTTATGAGAAAATCATCCCCTCTTTTTCACCAGTGTTATTTTATTTTCAAATATTCATGAAAATAGTTGTTGAAATGTCAAATGTAAAAGAAAATGGGACAGATTTTTCACAACACGTTTCATGTACAATTCGAAACTTGTTCACAAACAGATTTCCTGTTTTCATTCAATTCTAATGGCTGTTTCATGTCACTGCAGCAGTCACCTTTTTTGTGAGTACAGCTCATGCTATATCAAGAAAATCACTAAGTGTTTGCATATGTCTTTTGAATATAAAGGCTTTTAGTACATTGGTGTTTATACTGATCACATTTT